GTGCTGTCCTTTCTGCAGCAGCTGATGGACAGAAATTTGGCGTTCAGCACGATTAAAACGTACGCTGCAGCCATATCTTTCTGTCATGAAGTTTTCGGGGACAAAACAGCTTTTAATCATCCGGTAATGATGCGTTTTTAAAAGGTGTACAGAGATGCAGGCCTGTTTCACGCCCACTTGCTCCACAGTGGGATATTACGCTGGTCCTGTGGGCCCTGATCAAAGCTCCATTTGAGCCTCTGAATCAGGTTCCAATAAAATTATTGTCTCTTAAAACAGCCCTGCTGCTAGATTTAACATCCGCTAAGAGGGTGAGTGATTTATCTGCCCTCTCTGTCGCTCCGTCATGTCTTAGAATTCAGGCTGACGGCAGCTCAGCTGATCTAAGACTGAATCCAGCCTTTATGCCTAAAACACCACAAGCTCTTTTAAATCAAGAGTGATATCGTTGGAGGGTCCCCCCCCACAAATCAGAAGATGAAGCATCTTTCCATCTTCTCTGTCCTGTGCGGGTGTTGACGTGTTACATAGCTGCAATGCGTCAAAGTCAATATTTGTTTGTGCATTATAGAGATGCATCTGCAGGTCGCCCGTTATCCACCCAGCACTTGTCACACTGGCTGTGTGAGGCCATTTCTGAAGCCTACAGAGCATCAGATTTAGAGCCTCCTGTCAACCTCAGGGCGCACTCGACCAGAGGTATCGCATCTTCGACTGCTTTGCATAATGGTATGACAATGAAGTATATTTGCAAAGCGGCTGCGTGGTCAACACCCTGCTCATTTATTCGCTTCTATTTACGTGATGTGACGGCTCGTTCCATGACATATTCTGTCCTTAGTGTTTTAACAGAATGAATATTGTTGTTTCATGGAACCCCGTTTAAACTCACATCTGACTGCATGCATTACAGTGTGAGATGTTGTTATCAGCCACAAGTTGTGGCTGTTATTTTGGTTCTATTGTCAATCAGTTCATGACTATAGCTACCAATCAGTGCATTTGATTAATAATCAGTTCACTTGTTATTACTAATCTGTTCATATTGTTCAGCCGTGAATCTGTTTGTTCATGGCCCTTTTTCCAGCATCTTCCTTTCCCCGTCAAACGTTTCCGGGGCGTTCATGCACTCAGAACGCATAACTACACAGCATGCGTCTGTTCGTGGTACGCATAATGGAGAGCTGAGTGACAAGACGTTTTTTGGGCAAGCTGCCTCTTCGTATGGTGTTCGAATAGACCCAGTGAGGCCCAGAGGCGAGGACTACATCTGCTTCGCCCTTAACCCACTAAGCGACAGGTCTTAAAGGGCGAAGCCTATACGAAATAGAACATTGGTTACGTACTGTAACCCCAGATTCTGAGTATAGGCATAGCCCTTTAAGTGTCGGGCCTCAATGACTCCTAAATGGATGAAGAAAAAGCTATTTGGGTGCCGATTACCCGCTCTTAACGTAATTTATATGGACCGGGTGGGGCCCACACAGCAGGTGGGCGTGGACTAAATTTTTCAGTGCGATGCTTTGCATGACGGGATAAACCCACTAAGCGACAGCTCTTAAAGGGCGAAGCCTATACTCATAGAATCTTGGGTTACAGTATGTAACCAACGTTTTCGCACACACCTTTAAAAGTCCACAAGATACCACATAGAGCTTTTGGGAAACACCTCCTGCTGCAATATACGTCACTACATAGGTTTCTTCCTAACGGAGTCTCCATGCGGTCCCTGCATCCACAATATGGCCACAAATTTATAATGACGAAAGCGCCACACTTTTCAGTAGACAGACTCCTCCATGCACGATGTCTGCATGATCTCCATCCAGGAGTTTTGGGCCATTTGACTAATTTGGTGTGTTTGAAGAGTCGTACAGCTGAATGCCCGAACACAACTCCACATTGATGAACATGCCAACAAACTTCTGACCAATTGCACAGTACTTGAGGCATATGCCTGTGAGAAGAAGTTTGGCCTGGATATTGTGTCAAGAAGTGGTGGGTGAAGCTACTATGTGGACAAAAAGATGCTATTTTATCACACAACTACATCGAGAGACGATTTTACTGCTTCCAGTAGTGAATGTAGGACCCTTTATTGTTTCTAATATCTGTCATATAGTAGGTGGTACTTGGAGAGCTTAAGATCTTGTGATGTAGTACTCCATACAAAAAAGTTTAGAATCCCTGGCCTAATAAGAAAAGCACTAACTAGTGGCGTTAACACATACTACAGCTTTAGCATGTTATTTGCCAATCCCTCATCTAATGCTTTGGCTGTAATTAAAATTCCATTAAATGTTAAGACTATAATCACCATCATCGCTAGTAGATTGTGTTGTGGTGCGTTTCTTATGTTGTAATTTCCAGTTGGAACTCTTCAACAAGACCAACGTGTAAAAATGTCACCTTTTTTGAAGCAAGGTATGCCATTCCTCGGGCCACCTGGTACGCAGCAGATACCAGCTCCCTGATCTCCATCCTGCCCAGTGCAGTCTGCTGCACGCCGCTCCAATACTCCAACCCAGCTGGCCGCCGACCACGCAGATACTCCCTCAGGTTCCCCTGCGAGGCATACTCCACTATCACGTATAAGGGGCCTGCTCCAGGTCAGAATGACCCATTCAGAACACAACAAACCCATTATTGAATAAAATGTGTCTCGCACAGCTCAGTTAACCATAAAGAAACAATGGTACTCACCATCCTGCGTACAGGCGCCTAGAAGATTAATGATGTTTTTATGTTTCCCAATCATTTTCATCATCTCCATTTCAGAGATCAGGTCAGACAGGTCCTTCTCTGAAGCATCCGCTAAACACAACAACAACTTGCCATGACATGGACAGAAACTATCTACAGATGCTTTAACAAGAATCCACACACCATTACTGATAAAGGCACATCTTACATAAAACTCACAGCCTTTCTCTTACTTTTGAGCATCTTCACAGCCACCTTGGTGAGGCGTGTGGGTTTGTTTTTGTCAATCCCAAGAGCCTCTGCAAGGACCACCTGACCGAAGCAGCCCTCTCCCAGAGGCTTCCCGAGTGTGAGCCTATAAGAAAGCACCAAAGGTACCAACTATTTATGAAAGAGATCCCCGAGCTCAGAAAAGTAAGACTAAAAAATTGGCAAACAACAAGCATCTGTGATAATCAATAATATTTTCAATCATATATTTTGTTTTAGTTCGAGTGGGTCAGATTGGCCTAATCCAAGGGCCTCTTTAGGCCCACGGATGGCATTCTCCTGTAGTCAAAGCACCACAAATGCCACCAGTTTGGAAAACTAATGACAGTTATGCTTCTGAAGCTGAGCTGAAATGAACACGCATTAGCTGCCTGCCAATAGGGTGTGCACAAGTTGGATGTTGATGTGTGAGTATAAAGTACATACTGGTCACGTGGAAGCTCCCAAGAAGGATCATAAGGCAGTTCGTACTCTGACACTCCTGCCAGAACAGTAGTGGCTGCGCTGGAGAGACGGGATTGACGCATCAAACATGCCCCAGACTGCAAGGAGAACGAGGACTCAACCGATACCTGCAGAGAAATGTAGAAATAATTTGAGGATTTTTATACTGAAAGTTGAAGAGGAGAGGCCGGCAACAAAACCAGAGAGCAGCTGCATCACCTGTCTCCTCATAGGAATGCTCTTGGCTAATTTCTGCACTGCCAGCTGGCTGGTAAAGTCACTCTTCTTTGGGGCACAGCAGAGCCTACATATGACTGCTGTGGTAGTGAGGATGATGATGATGAAAAACCCAAGGCAGTAGATGAAGATCTCCAGGTATGTCTGTGAGGGGACTGGTGTAGGGGGCAGCTCTGAGATAAGAGAAGCCACAGTGAATAAAGCGGAAGACTTTAGAGCCAGTCCGTGCACGTAGATTAATCTAAACATACCATCGACCACAGTGAGCCACGCAGAGTGGTACGACACACCAATGGAGTTCCCCGCCAGGCAGGTGTACTCCCCAGCATCATCCAGAGTCACATTCTTCAGAGTCAGAACCTCCATTTCTTTATCTGTCGTGTTCAAACCTGCAGTCTGGAAAAAAAAAGTTTAATGTTTTGTCAAATCTAAGGAAATTTTTTATCGACTTCCAGACAATCATTTAAACTAAAGCAGTCTAGTGGTAACGGTACTGATTAAATATACTGCACACTGTTATTCTTTTATACCCTGAAGGTACAGCAAAAGAGTTGAAAATGTGTTGTGATTTTAAATGTGTTCATAAAGAACACATCTCCTGTACGACTCTTGTTCTGCTGAAAGAGAACAGCAATAGCCATGGTATAAACAGCAATAACCCCTCTATAGCACTGATACTGGTGACAAGTATCAAGTAACAAGTAGTTGCAGTTTGAGATGGTAGTGATTTTTAAATATTTAAAGTCTTGATAAATCAGGTGAATGCCAAGAAATAATCCCACACTTAACACTGTTTCTTTTCATTATTATTATTATTTTTATATATACGAATGTTTCTGTTTAGTGTCCTGAGATGACTTCTGTTGTGACTTGGCGCTGTATAAATAAAATGAATTGAACTGACTGATGGATTGGTGTAGCGTCTGCGGTATTCCGGACTCTGTGCCAGTCGAGGGAGCCGAGCCGTAAGGCAGCCTTGGCAGGGTCCAACTCTCACCCTGAAGGGGTCCGACTTACTACTGGCAATGCGAACCAAACTCTCACACCTTTTGTACAGGGACTGAACAACCTGTCGAAATGGGCCCCCAATCCCATGCTCATGGAGCATCCCTCACAGTGTACCCCAAGGGACACAGATGAATGCCTTCTCCAAGAGTTCAAAATGCGATGTAGACTGGATGAGCAAACTCCCATGACCCTAGTGAAGGTAAAGAGCTGGTCCAGCATTCCATGGCCAGGACTGAACCCATTGTTCCTCCTGGATCTGAGGTTCGACCAATGATCTGACTCACTTTTCCATTACCAGAGAGGCTAAGGAGAGTGAACCAGCATTCCTCTCTATCAAGGATACGCATCTTCATCCCTGATCGTAACTGGCCTGCCATGAGAGTAAACTGCAGAGTCCTGGCCTGATGGGTAAAAAGTAAAAAGAGAAGACTAAAGGGGGGGTGGGGTTCCCGAGGAGATCACAACAAAGTATCTACTGTAACTTCTGAGATGCCCAGAATCTGCAAAAATAGCCTAGCATTCTTAAAGTCTCCTGATGAAGTATTCTCAACATTTTATTTCTGCTTTGCTTCAGTTCTCTCTCAGATACTCTCCAGAATAGCTCTAAAGATGTGTCCACATTTCAAGGCTCTGTACATGACAAATAGTTATTGCTTTCCACACTGTCCAGTTACAGCTGACACAGCATTTTTATTTAGAAAATTAGTGAATAACTGACAAAACCTTGCTTGAAACAAATCTTTAACAGTACTTCAGTTTTGCCTCTCGTGACAAAAAATAAAGTGCAATATTACACAAAGTGCTTCTAGCTATAGACCACACTGATGGTCTTTCATCAGAAGTTCACAACACATCACAGATGTGCTCTGACAGTTCGCTTTGATAGACAAATGAGATCAGCGCCATACAGCAGAGGCTGTCTCATCCAATAATGAAGACGTTCAACAATAACATCAGTAAATCATTGCAGAGCTCTCACAGGCTGCTGCCGAACGGGCTAAAGATCAGTTCCTACATCCTGCTGCTCTCTGCAAACATCAAGTGTTGGATATGAGTCTGGTTGAGATTGTTAGTGAAATATTTCCAAATTGTCCACAAAACCGCATGATTTGTTTTTAAACGTACCAAAGATGATGGGTTTAACAGTCCGAGTCATAAAAGTACCGGGAACAGCTGACACTTGCTGGCCCTCCAACATGATAACATTGTTTCAGCCTAGCAACACTTTTGCTGTAAGAAGCTGAAATTAAACTTTTTAATTTATGCTTGACAGCATCGTAACGTTTTCTTTTTTATTTCAAAAGCACCTTAATTTAATTATCTGTCAAAAGTTACTAAATAAAAGTGATTTATGCTTAAGTCATGACTTTACCATAGGACTGCGAGGCCTAAACTTCATCATTTGTTTCAATCCACAAAGGCTGACCAGTTCTTTCTTTGAGGGTGAGTGCGTGCAGCCCAGGATTTTTGCACACCGCAGCCTATTTGTGCTGACCGCTCATACACTATGAAAATGCTTCGGTTGAAAAGGAAGCGTCAAACATGCGCAAGTCAAAAAAAATGATGAGAAACAACAATGACTTCGGAGAATCTGTTAGTGTAGCTTTTCAGTCATAGTGGGTGGGAATTGTAGAATTTATTTCTAAGGAACAACACTTCTTTTGTTGATTGTTAAAGGTTTTAATTTCTTATCAGAGCAGCTTTCTCAACTAAAACTAAGAAGTGCATCACATTTAGAAGAAAATTTAGGAATAAAAAAAAAAAAATCACATTTAAGGCCTTTCACATCACTTCAGCGTCTTTGAGCTGATTAAAAATGAACTTTTATTCAATGAGGTCCTGTTCCTGGCCTGTAAAGACGTCTTCTTGTTTAAATGTTTCACTTTAATGGCTTCACTATTGTTTGTTAGGAAGCTCCATGGATTTATCCTGATGCATGCTCCATGGATTTAGTAACATCACGTGTTGTATGACATCAGTACTTCTTAGAAAAACTCATCTATGAACCAAAAACATCAACAAGTTACAAGCAAAATGAGATAAAATGCAACAAACAAGCATGGATAATCAGTGAACCCCATGGCAGCATCTTACCATTTACATTTTGCTGATTAAACTAAATAAACACCAATATTGCCGGTGTGCCGTGCTTACCTTGAGAACCAGGACGTAGGGGTGTCCATCTGGTCCTTCTTTGCTGCCGTTGACAGTGATGTGTTTGAGCCATTGGATGTGAGGCTGTGGGTCACTGAACACTCTGCACACAAACTCCACATCGCTGCCGACAACTGCAGTCTGATTAGCTGGCAGACCGGCCTGCAGGATCGGTCTGTGTGGAGAACGTTCTGCAGCAGAGTGATTCAGGCCAGTCACAAAGGAGGACAGCATGTAAAAACAAATGTGTAGATGCTGCTTAGAGCCATTGAAACTGAACTGGGAGTTACTTTTGAAGGAAATTCGGTTGAAGATGAACAGAAATAATTCAGAAAAAGAACTTGAATCTCAATAAATCCAACCTGTAAGTGTTGCTTAATTTCATATTAATCAGAACTACCACTTCTAACAGAACTTGTTTTTTGAGGTTAAAGAACACTACAGACTGTCCTGTGATTAAAAAACAACCTACAGTAGTGCCTCGCTACTTTGCGGTTCTTTTTTTCGTGGACTCGCTCCATCGCGGTTTTTCAAAGTAACATTGGACGCGACACACAACCGGCTAATTGACGGATGAGCCGCATGATCTGCATGGAATTTTTATTTAAAATAAATTACTTTAAATTATTTAGCACCTGCTGCACCTGTGTGCAGCCCACACTGTAGGATAAGCTTCTTCCTGCAGCTGATCAGTTGATCTCCATGCAGAGCAGAGAAGTGGGCGTGGCCAAGAATGCTTTCAGGGAGCAGAGAGCAGCTGAGGCAGGGAGCTGAAATCATGACATTCTGTGCTCTTTTAGAGCGTTTACAGTGTTTTTTAGTTTAGAAACATTGTTTAGAATATTGCAAGTGTATGCATACATATCCATATCTATCCATCTAATATACATATATATATATACATACATATCTAAAGATTATCTATCCCTCTAATATACATATATATATATACATATATATATATATATATATATACACACACAGATCATATATAAATACTAAACTAAATTACTACTTACTATTTGTACTACTATTCCTATTTTGCGGTTTTTCACTTATCGCGGGGATTCAGGGTACGGATCCCTGTACTTGTATCTTTTCCAGTAGTAAAATATGAAATCAGCATTGGGAAACCAACTGTTAGTACTTCACTGTCAGGAGAGAAGGCGGAGCTGTTGGAGACTCTCCAGGATGAGTTTTGTTTAATAACTGACAAGGAAATTAATTAATCACAATGTTGATGTAAAAATAAACGGAACTGAATTTAATTGAGTGGGTAGAACCACAGCATACACCTTCAGGAATTCACTTTTTTTTAACCACATGAAGACTTGTGATGCTTTTAACTGCAACCTGTAAGTTCAAAAATCCACAGTGAAATTCTAGTTGTTCTAAACTGACTGAAAAAATGCTCTCCTGACAGTGAAGTCATAACCAAATAAGAAAAAAAACCTCCAAACATGTTTCTGGCTAGTTACACAAAGTTAAAATAATCTGAATGGATAATTGTATTTTATAATAAGAAGTTTCTTGCTCAACTGCAAAGTAGTTTACAGAAAACAAGATGAATTTAACAAAGAATAATACATTTAAAAACATATATTTGATATAAAATAAATATTAAATAAACAATTAAATGTAAAATTTCATATGAGTTCAATTCTTAGGCCTTCCCTGAAGGAGTAGAAGGCCCCGAGGGTTCCCCACTGCTATATTTAGATTAACTGAAGCACTTTAAAAGAAGAGAAGTGTGGGAACTCTTTGAAAACCTTTTGGAAATGCTCCATGAAGTTGCCTGGAAACTTAAATTATTTAAGATTTTTTTTTAAATCATTGTCTTGAAAAAACAGATCTTACCTACTACATCCAGCAGGTAGGTATGGTTAAGGCTCCCATGCTCATTCTCTACCACACAGGTGTAGTTCCCCCTATCAGAGGGAACCACTGACTCCATTATCAGAGTCCACATGTGGTCTCTGATCTGAAAAAGGAGATAAAGAAAAATATATTTTTGATCATTTTAAAACAATCCCTACAGTCTCCACTTTGCCATGAAGCACACACCTTGAACCCTCCTATTCTTTGGTCTTTCCTGAACTCTCTTCCATTCTTGTACCAGCGCAGACTAGGAACAGGGTTTCCAGTTGCTTGACAGCGAAACTTGACTGTCTTGCTGGCTGGAACCGCATGGAGCTGTTTCTCCATCTTCTCCGGCATCACCCACTGCGGCGCCAGCGCTAACGAGGAGACACCGTGACATAAACATTATAATCACAATCACTGGCGTCTGCACTAATTAAATTCAGAAGCTGGAAGGCTTAAGATCATTGTGAGGCTTACGTTGGAGGTTTTCATTGCTTGTTGACAGTTCATTGGACAGTTTATTTTCCTCTGAGGATGATTCATCATCTTCTTCATCTTCAGAGGATTTCATCGCATCTGGTTGAGAAGAAAATTCAAGAAGTTTTTGAGAACACTCAATCAAAAGACAGAGCTCTTAAAGCTGTTTAGGTAGGAAGCGGACTTTCCTCTCAACTGACAATGAAAATATCTTGAGGATTAACCCCTGACCTCGATGAAAAAAGACACTGCAAGTGTTTCTATTTGACAAGCGGCAACAGACAGGAGCTGTCGCCACGGCAAAGAGCTACACCCCAACCACTTCTGAAACTTCACAGAGCTCCTTCCTCCACTGCCACGGACCATTAACAGCCGGCTAAAAACACTAAATCCCCCAGTCTAAAAGTAATTGGTCTGGGCAGACAAGATGATTTTTGCTTTTAATGAACGCACAAGACCTCCAAGGATAAAGAGTTTATGTTGGTACTGCTAAATAAAAAAAGTTAAAATAAGAACAATGATGTTTGGAAACAAAAGATAAGTTTTAATAATCAGTTCGAAGGGACTTCACATGGTTTGGGCTTTTTGCAGGAAAACAAAACTGAAATAAAAAGTTAGGATGTCTAAACAAAATTGTAGAATTATAATTAGCACTAAATGATTTGTAATGTTTTATTTATATGTGCTAGTCATTCATTCAGGTGATGTCACATTAAATGTGTACAATCGATAAAGAAGCAACATCAAGATTCATTTAGCTAAAGATGAGGTAGAATGTTTGACTCAAAACATCTTGTATTGTTTTGTTTCTACAATATTGAGAATATTTTTTAGGCTTGTGGAAGTCTTCTTCATTTAGCTGCTCTTTCTTCTGCATTGCCCATTGATTTAGATGTTTGATTCTCGATACTTGAACTCATCTATCTTCAATACTTCTATTCCTTGCAGCTTCAATGGTACATCTGTCTTCCTCACTTTCATTCCACCTCTCCAGGCTTTCTTCCATCTGCCCAGTACAGATCATCATGTCGTTTGAGAGCATCATAGTGTACGGGGACTGGTCTCTGCTGTCAACCCGCCGTCCATCACCACATATGGCTATGGACAAGAAGTAACAACACCATATGGACTCTTACTGATTCCTCCACTCAACTCAATTCAGTGTATTTATATGGCAGTGTTTCCCTCACAATTATTCAAGGAGGGTGCCCCGCCTACCGAAATGTCCTACACTCACAAATTCAATCCCTCCTCCATCGTTTATTATCATTATTTTCATCCAGAGGAAATGAAAGGCCGCAAAGTTTATTCCTACAATGCTCAGGTCCAAAAAACACAACCTCTCTCTTGCCAGAGTTTAAAAGCAAACAATTAAGGGGAAATCCAGTTTTGTATGCCTTTAAGACATGCTTGTAATCTAAATAGTTGATTGGATTCATTGGATAAATATAACTGAGTATCATCAGCATAACAAAGAAAATTTATCCTATCCTGTTTAATAACTTTTTCAAATGGAAGGATACGGTATATAAAGTAAAATGTATTAGTCCAAGCACTGAACCCTGAGGACCGCCATGAATAACTTTGGTGTATGAAGAGGATTCATTATTTACATTTACAAACTGGAATCTATCAGATAAATATGATTTAAACAATTTTGGAGCCATTCCTGTAATCCCAATATAATATTCAAGTCTCTGTAGTAGATTATTGTGATCAGCTGTATCAAATGCAGCACTGAGGTCTAACAGGACCAGTACAGATACAAGTCCATTGTCAGAGGCCATGAGAATATCATTAGTAACTTTCACCTGTGCTGTTTTTGTGCTATGATGAGCTCTAAACATTGATTGAAACCCCTCAAACAGATTATTTTGGTTCAGATGTTCACACAATTGATTAGCAACAATTTTCCAAAGATTTATTTTAGTTGAATGTTAGATTAGATGCAAGTCTATAATTGGACAGAATTCCTGAATCAATATCAGGCTTCATAATTAAAGGTTTAATTAAAGCAACCGTAACGTGCTGTGGTATGTAACCGTTCATTAAAGACAAATTAAGTAGATCCAAAATGGGGATATTAATTAGGGGAAATCGCTCTTTAAACAGTCTGGTTGGGATGGGATCTAGCAGACATGTGGATGGTTTAGATGAAGCTATCACCACAGGACATGATAGCTGTAAGACATGGCTGTAACTTGGTCTTTGTATATGTGCAAGTGGAGCATTTAAAAAGGGACTGAATAACTTCCAGTAATTTCAAATATTCTTAGTTGGAATGTCCAACCCTACTAACAAACGCGTTAATTTTTCCGACTAAAATATTCCCCTCAAACATTTCTTTCTTTCTTTTGACCAACGTTAAGAAACAAAACGACAGTGGTTAAAAAAATTCCAACAAAACCTACCAAAAGCAAATTTAAAAATAACATCTTATTAGTTGATGCAGGTAAAACTCCAGTAACTAATCATTGACTTACAAAGGTGTTATGGGTTCTGGTTCAGGCAGTAGAATATATCAACAATTTACCGTCATCACAGATAAGTGGACACGGCTACGGTAGCTGGGTGGTAATCCCGAGGCTGCAGGTTTGAGCCCAGATTGCATCACAAAAGGCAACCAACATGAAAATAAATTCATATTCTGCACGTTAATAAAATACTTGATTAATACTGGGCTGGTTTCTGGGCAGAAAGCTTTCCTGTACTTTACTTTGTGTATCATCAGGATCAAAACAACAACAAAAACATAAATAAACTAGTCAGTGGTGTGAGTTCAGAAAGCTTCACCCAGCTGAGCTGAGCCAACCTAAAAGCTGTCTTTGTTTATGACTGCAGAAGAAAACCTAAATTTGATGGATTCTTTAAGAAACAAGAGTTAACAAGCTCCACAACAACATTATCACCCAGACTCAGCTGGAGTCCAGATGTTTGGAACAAAAATGAACAAGCACACACTTTGGTTTGCACTTTGCATATTCACACGGATGGTGCCAGGAGAAGAACATGAATAATGTCTAGAAGAATCCGCTTGTGTTTGTGCTGATTAGCCACATTGAGTACCAGTAACCATAACACTCACACTGGGTGCACGTGTTTCTATGTCTGGACAGGATATGCAGACCATAACCAGCACACCAAGAGCCAAGGCTCAGTTACACCATGAAAAAGCACTAACCAATTTCAGATGTCTCCCAACACAAAAACAACCAAACTTAGAAAAACTCACTTTCCCATAAAAAAACTGGCTCATTGGAAAACTTTATAGTTTTATAAAAGAAATTAAATGCCGAGGCTAATCACAGCTGGGATCAAACCGCATTACTTTATTTTTAAACAAAACTAATAAAACACAACAAATATAATCATATAACGTGTTTGTACATAGTGCACATTAAAAACTGAATTAAACTAGTTTTAACAACTAATTAAACTAGTATTGCCCACGAACTTACATGCCAACATTTTAAATAAATACAGTATACTGCATGATCTGTCAGAGTATGTGATGGGGATGATTCACAGCTACTACCACACTAAGTCTTAGCCCAATATCTGTCAAACACACAGACACATGCAAAAACATTATTACCTGCCATTCTCCTCACAAAGCAGGCCATAATCACCTTAAGGCATTTTTTTAAAACAAATAAGCTGTGAGAAAAAAATATATAATAATAATTCCATAATGGATGGATGAATGGATTCCCTAAAACACCAAGTTAAATATGGACCCAAATTCAACCATTTGTGAGGGATCTTACCCGTTTCTATGTCCTCTGTGGCTGGTCTGGACTGAGTCTGAGGGACCTGAACCAGCAGCAAGATGCAGGGCAACAGGAGGAAGCAGCGTGGGAAACCCATGTTGTTCTAATACATCGACTGTCCCTTTCAGACTGCAGAGAGACAATAAACACAATGACACTCATTCATTCAACCTTTATTTATACAGGTTAGTCTCATTGAGCCTCGAAGACTCATTTACAAGAGTGACCTGTTATAAACAAAGAACACAGATGACAACAGTAGACATCATATAAATTGAAAAATAAATGGAAGAAAATTATAATAAAAAGCAAAACAAAAAATCAGCTACATTATAAAGCAATATAAAATACTAAAAGCAAACACATGTCTGCACTGGTTTTTGCCATGAACTTAACAGATGTTTGAAGTCACTTAGAGAGGTCATGGTTGAGAGCTTCAGGTCTTTTTGCAAGATATTCCAGGAAACAGGAGCGGAGTAGGAGAAGACCCTTTTGCCTAGTTCAGTCTACATTGATGGTACACTGCATGTAATAATGTCCTGAGAGCGCACGCTGTAGCTGAACTCACAATAACCCAAAACAACCTCCTTGGTAACATCATGCAAATCCAAGGGGAGTTTCAGGAGCAAAATGGGTTGTATTAGGTGAAATGAGATTAGGCCTTAGACTATGGAACTGAAAGTGGTAACAATAATTAGCAAATTTTTGGACCAAACAGTTGTAAAGACTGAGGGTTATAAGGACTGTTAGTTCTACTATGGAGCATTAGGTGATATGTCACTGAGCTGCAACTTTTTGAGACTAGCATAGCTTGCATTTCAAAAATGTTTGAAAATTGTGGGAAAAAAGGCTAATTTTCAGCTGCAGTCTCACTGAATTCTGAGTGTTGGTAACGGAAAGTTTTTTTTAAAAGCATGACCTATTTTTGTGTGCATATCATGTAAAACTGAACTCTTCCCCAACTCAACCCCACCTCAGCTTGCTTTGTATCCAGTTTGATACATTTAATAATATCCAATTTGCCAGAGTACCCCATGATAAAATCCAGTTGGTTTGGAGACAAGTTGCAGATGCACACCATGACTCAGACGGTATTGAGAAAAAAGTTGCTGCACAATTGTTATGAACAAAAAACAGGACTGGGTGCCTCTGTCACCCACGCAAGAAAATTGATAACCACCACAAATGTCATAAGATATTTTTGGAGACCCCCTGATGAATGTTGTTTGCCAACTATTAGCAGCCCAGAGAGATAGCACCTTTAGAAAACTGATGTGTTTATTTTCACATCACCAAGAGAAAACTGTGACTGAGCAACACTTAACTCCTCACCCCAAAAAATAAAAATAAAAAAAACAACATGGCCATGTCACTTATGTATGATACATTCATTTTGCTCAGCCAATCAATTTATATTCATGTATGGACTAATCACATCTCCTTACATCGCTCCAGAGTGCCCATTGAGCTAAAAAAAAATTCCCTACTCTAAAGCAGGAGCTAGATAGACTTGATTAACATATTTATGATATTTATGACTGCAAACAGCCACCGTACCGTCAGTGGAAAAAGAACAAAAGATAAGTTACTTCAAATGCTGATAAGGACCGTGAACTGGTTGCATGCCGTCTAAAAACAAAATACACCTTGGATTTACAGAAATCAGAATGATAGCAACATGTTTGCTCTGCACTTTAAATGAATGTGAATGACTTGCAGATGTGGTCATTAAACTGTTCAGATCAATGTTCTTTATAAACACCTAACGATCATTATTTTCACACATGTAGTTGAGCTCTGGAGGACATTAACCAGATGGGCTGCAGTTGAGAACACAAACATCAGCATGTGAGCTACACTGCTCTTTACAAATGAACAACAGGAGTACCACATTTTCAGTGTGGACCGAACTTGGCAAGAGAGCCTCGTCTTTGTAGGAGTTCAGCTTTTCTCTCCACAGCTCCAGATTTTCATGACGGTGCCAATCAGCCACACCTGGAGATCATCCTCCTTGATGAGAGGCAGGAGAGGGTGACTGGTGACATCAGTTCTATGCTGTTGCATTACACGCCTTCCGGTAGTAAGCTCCTAGCTAGTTAACCTTCCCCTTTGTGCTGTAGATATTCATCCTAGTTCTCTCGTGTTACAGTTGTGCTCCTGTGCTCCTTCGAACTCCTCGTGGAACCATCTTCCCTTGTGGACTCCTCAACCGACCTCCTCGTCTACCTTGGACGTCTCAGTGAAACTCCTCGTCCTCCTGTGTCTCCCTGGATTACCTCAGCTGTTCTTTCGGCCTTCCTACCACTGCCCAACACTACTGGACTCCCTGTGGACATACCTTGTTAATTGGATCCTCGTTCATCCAGCTTTCTACTACTCTCACAGTAAGAGCTAAGAAGTTACCATCACCTATTATCATAAAACCATATTGAGATTACTCATCATCTGCCCTCGTTCTCCAGGGTTCCAGCTCCCTCCAACGGCAGTTTCATAGCACTGTAAATAAACACACTGTTATTGTTTCATGCTGAGTCTTGAGTTGTTCCTTCAGTCCATTGTATCTGGGTATTGACTTAAAGAAAAACCTCACAGTCTTACTCCACTCCTGTATCCTGGAACACCTTGCAAAAAGATCTGAAGTTGTCGACTTTGGCCACTCTAAGGGATTTTAAATAACTGCTAAGTTCATGGCAAAAACCAACGCAGACACGTTCTTGTTTTTAGTATTTTACATCGCTTTGTAATGTAGCTGTTTTTGTTTCATTTTATCTCATTTCTTCTATTATTTTCATTTTATATGCTTTTATATGATTGTTGTCTGTACCTCATCTGTGTTCTTTGTTTAAATCACTCTCTTGTAAAAGAGTCCTCGAGGCTCATTGAGACGAACCTGTATAAATAAAGGTTGAATCAATGAACTACATGTCGTCAACAAACTATTACATTCCAATACAAGCAAAAACCTTGTGTAACCTTTGATCTTGATTTGCGATCTTGACCTTAAGAGCTGGGGTGCTGAAAAGTTTATGTGACACAGTCTAGTGGTGATATAAATTTGTATTGTACTGGTTTGTTCCACTTTGAAGTAAGCTGTTTAGGGGAAGAATCAATTTTGTGTTGCGTTTCCTTGACTGATGAAGCCTTCAGGATGGAAGGTGAAAAGTTTCAGCATGAAAAGAAACTGTCCAGATGACCTGACTGAAAATTGTTGGACAAATTTGTATTGTTTCATTAAATTATCTCAAGTGGATCAGAAGTTATGGCCCGGACAAGAGAAAGTTTACATATGCACGGATAAAGACTAAACCAGAATACCTCCACCTTTCATCAGACATATCAACAAGTTTGAACCAACCAAGATCCTTGTTACACTGACTAAAGACCCTGCTATGACAAAAAAAAAAAAAAACAGTCAAAATGCCAGTCTGCAGCATCTTAGCAAGGTCTTCAGGAAAGTAAAAACAGAGTGAACACCTCATTAAATGAGCATGCACACAACTTCCCTTGCAACGGTTTGGTGGTTTAACATTGTGGTGGCAGTGTATCCATGATGTGAAACACACATACATACGCCAGTGTGACTTGGACTTCTGAAATTCGACATTACAGTAGAGATGGTAGCATTGTGGTGATCTTGCAGCACGTAGATGCATCCTGATGCATTCTGGGAGAACTGTGCTGGGCCGAGCTCAGAAGAGTTTTTCTGGGACGTAAAAAAAAAATAGCCGAGAAAAACCTATGTGATGATAGCATAGCAGCAAAACTGCCTTCTCTCTGAAGGAGGGTTTTGCCAGAATCTAGCCACAGCCTCTTGTAGGTCATGGAGAGAATAGAAAAGGTGGTCATCCAAAAAAAACCCACTATTTTTTAAGTGGGGAAAAACAAAATGTGCAATTTTTCCAAAATTAAGATGCAAAGCAGAAAAAAATGGTATGAGATTATTACAGCCTTCACTAAGCCAATAACTGATTAAAAATAATAATATTTTTCTATAAACCTATTACTTTTAGTACTCAAAACAGTCTCTCTTATAAAAATGCAATAAAAACGTTAAAAATATACTTTTTATTTTTTATTTTACCCACATCAGATCTTTTGAACAACTTCAGACACAACAAAAATGAAGTTTTAATATCTATTTTAAACTATTTATGCATTATGTCTATCATGTAGTAGAACGAGCACATGGGCCGCCTGTGCAAAGCCTGAAAGTACTGTACTGTATCTGCTGACAGCATGAGGAGGTGTCACAGACAAAAAGCTCTGTCTCATTGTCTCTCAGGTTCTTTGTTGGGTTGTGCAATGACTTGAACATCCCTCTCCCACATAAACAGAGCCCATTTGACCTTTGATTACTTTAATTTCACAGACACAAATAAGCACACATACATACAAATAATATTCTCAACAGCATTCACACGACTCTTTTTATGTAAATCACGGACATTTTTTTTAGGTTTTCACCCTTTTTTTTTTTACCTCCAAGCATTTTGCAAGAGAAGTGAACTGATGTTTTGAAGGTAGAAACGTGAATTTATTAGGTATATTAAAAAAAACGATATATTGTCAGGATTATAGTACTGTACATCAAAAATATGGGAGTCAGTGGCCAAAAACAGGCCTGAGGGTGCAGACTGTATGTATTGTGTGGATGGTGAGAATCATGAAATTTGACGAAGAAAAAAGTCCTGAACGTTTCATAATTAGTGTTTAAACTGACTGAAAAGTTGAGAATCAAAAATAGCAAATTAACAAAATGTATACATTTGGTTCCCCAAGGTGCCTTAAGGGTTAACTAATACTGTCCTGCTGCGAAACATGATGCCATGTTTTTACAGTTGATACTTAAAGCTAGGGCTGAACGACTTTGGAAAATATTCTAATTGCGAACGTTTACCTCAATACTGCAATTGCGATTTAATATGCAATTATTTTTCAATGTCGTCGTCTCATGTATTTTTCAACTAACACAACAATAAATAAATCTGTTTCTGTTGCAAAAAAAACACCGTTTTCAGCTCCGCTGCAACTCTTCTGCATTTTTTCTATAGCTCCAGGAGAGCAACTTGTCTAAAATGTGTGAGCGAGGTCATTCTGTATCGCTTATCCATTGTGTTTACCAACGCTGTAAAC